TTCGTAAGAGAGATAGTTTGTTTGACATGTATATTCGTATAGTTTTAAATATATTTATTCTCTGTGTATAAAGATATTTTTTTTGTATCCGTATTTGAAAACATGTGCTTTATATTTTATTTTATTTTGTGGTGTCAGCTCTTAGAAGATGACGGATAACAACGACAAGGAGGGTGAAAGTTCTCCATTCGACCGATCCTCGCCCAGGCAATGGCCTTTGGTATGGTTCATACTTCGACTTTTGAGTTACTTCGTTGGTAACCTACTTCTGTCGATGCAGAACTTGTTTTTGGAGACATATTGTCTTACTTTCGCACAGAGTTGCCATTGAGGCTTTTCAAAAAGGATAGCTAAACAACAACTCGTATACATCCATGCACAACATTTGTCTGATGCGATTTCGCGTTTAATCCAAGTGCAAGGCTTTCGTTGCCGCCAAGACAGTTGCTTATATTCATTGTATTGATTATTTCCGATTTTTTTTTGACTATACAATTTCACTATGCCTGTTGAGCCATTTTAAGTCGTCTATCCATCATAATACTACGGCTAAATCCCACTTTCTTGCGAATATTCTGGCTCGGGCATCCTCTGCTTTATTTCGGTGCATCAGTCGGCTCGGCAGCTTCCGGCCCACACGGACTCCTTCGTTCAGGAGCACATGATGCTCAATCGTTCCGACGAGCAAATGCGCCTCATCCGCACTCAGAACCGAAAGTCCCTCAAGAATTGGAAAGTGGAATCGTCCAATTTGACTCTAACATCTCCCAATCGATCGTACTCCCTGACCCCCCGGTCGGGTAGTGCGACGTCGCTGATTTTCAAGAATCAGGGGTAAGTCCTTTGATATCTGCGTATCTAGTAGTGTGTGGGGAGTTGAATGAATGTTACCTACAGTTTTTAGTGAAGATATGCGTGTCGTGGGTTATAAGATACTATATGTAGACTTAATTCTGGCCCAACGTTTGTCGTCTATCTGCACAGCAGTGAAATCGGCAGCCCAAGGAGGCAGTCCTCGCCCAGAGTCTCGCATCAGTACTCGAACCAATCGCCCAAGCGTAAAGGGAGTATGTTCGGGCAAAATGTCCTGTCCTCGACTAGCATATCTGGAGACCATGGTACTCCCATGCAAGGCGGGTGCGGCTCACCGGTGGATAGGAACTCAGCATCCAACGGTGCCAGCCAAACTTCCTTCTCCGAAAGAAACTTCCAATTGCATGCCCACAGCCAGAGTGTGCAGGACACGTCGAGTTCTAACTTGATGGCGAAGGTATCGGAGAGAGGCTCAGGGGGATTATGTTACAACAACACTCTACCCAGTGGACCCCATAACCCTGAGATCGGGCCTTTGAGTAACTCGTCGAGCCTGAGTGGGTTGTTTGGCGCAAGCGGCGTTACGATGAAAAGCAAGTTCAAGAAAAAGTCCATCAAGATCTTCACGGCTATGACGAAGAGTACACCAAAGTAAGTGCACTCATTGGTGAGGCTCTGCCATGTCGAGCGCCCGCACAGTGAAGCTAAGCTTAACCTTTACAATATAACGTACTTGTGTAGTTAGGGTGGGGTATCCATGTCCGGCACAGTTTGACTGCCGCCAAGTTGCGTGTGCGCATCAATAGAGCTGTTGTATATATTGGCAACAAAACCGCACCCAGTGGTTGCAGGACTACTTCTGCTGCACAGTATGCGACCGTTGGATCAATAGATAGCCATCAATGCAATTTGTTGGGAGAACATATCAACGCTCGCGATTTGTCAGGCTCATAGTTTACAATGTGTACATTCAATTCGAGACGAGACCTCTGCTTGTAAAGTCTGATCTGACCTCTTGTCCTTTATCTTCACATACACTTACAGTACACCCACCTTATACCCACGTGTACTATACAGAGCCAAGCCTCCTGGCGACAAGGCGTTCACATTTGATGCCCCCGCCAATGCCAACCGTCGCACCTCGGTCGACCAATTGCACAAACCAAGCGAAACCAATAACTCCATCGCACTTCCTTTGTATGTGTACTTGCTCTATGATCGTGTGTCTGCACGGTGTTCGTTTCCATTTACATTCTTACTTTTTTTGGTGACTGTAGTGGATGTGTGTGGCTTACTCCCGAAATAGGTGTGCCACGTACCGGAGGCAAGGAACAACCACCCATCGTATATTTGAGCTGTGTGCTTCTGTCTGTTCATGGTATTACAATGTTGGTAGTATTACAATGATACCTTGGTAGCATTACTATGATACCTCGGTAGGAATACGTGTATAGTCACAGACATCAATGTAAATTCATGTATATCAAAAAATCGATCAAAGCTACGATTCTAGATTTGTACACAATGACATCCAATTAACTTCGTTCATGGGCACACACATTTGTATACTGTCTGCTAACATTCATGATAGCGTCATAGCTTTGTGTGCGAGCTGAAATATCGAGTACCTTGGCTCGTATTTGTGCACATCATCCGCATTCATCCATTTGCGCAGAGATTAGCTATAGACCCGCGTATTCGCGAGTTTAATGGTATGTATGCATTTCAAAATGTTCTTATCGGAAATTTGCATAAGCCTTCAATTTATGTAGATTCATCTACCTCCGCAAACTTCGAATTCGCTTCCGCATAAAGGATTGCTTGATGCTCATATGCATGCAGGGTCCTAGACATACATACATAAATCTTGATATACACATATACAAACGTACACACATTTTTTAAAAAGATGCATACATTCATATATAAATATATGATAGATCCTTACTTGCATACATACCTACATACATGCGTACAAACACATTTACTCGTGATCACGTATTTCAACATCTTCTAAGCATCTTCATATCCACTGTAAATCAATGTCCATGCAAGGTTTAAGATGCCCGTACCTTCTACTACTCTCCATGGTGTGTGTTTTCTGGGCCGATTCTGTTCTCACACTATACAACCACCACCACCACAGAAGCAACGCCAGGCGCAGCAGTGAGATAGACATCAAACCGTCGTCCCACATGACACTCAGCGAGGTCCTACCATCGGCATCCGTCACCAAACTGCAAGAAGTCATGGACACCATCGCACCCTTCAACCAGGTGCCCAAGTCCCGAACCCTGACCACCACACACACGCAGACATCCTCTACCACCCGTTACTCACTGTCGTCCGACCCATCGCGCAGTCTGTCTCGTGCGCACTCCGTCTCGGGCCAGGAACCCCCGCCGCAGTCTGTCAAGCTGGACCGACTGAACTCGACGACGATTGTCGAATCGGAGTTCAGCACCACGGGCAATGAAATAACCGATGCGAACGCCTCAACTGTGAGCCTGTGTTCGACCTCTAATCGGATCCAGAGCCCCACAATGGTCAGTGGGAAAGCACGTGCGACCGCAGCCAAGAAGGGGTTGAATATACCGGCCGATGGTGTCGATGCGAAGTCCACACCAGAACTCTCGAGCGCGTCGGCTAACAGCCCCGGTACCGAAAGTAAGAATGGGAAACAGAAAGCCGGCTCACGCAAATCCTCATCGAAAAAACAAGTGGTTGTACGCCCACGCAATAGACAGGCGCTCAGTGCCAAATCGAGCCAAGGAGCACTGCAGAGACAAACCAGCGATAGCAGTACCAAAAGCTTAAACGCCAATGCCAATGCCAATACCAACACCAATGACACCAATGCCAATGCCAATGCCAATGCCAATGTCAAGCAGCAACGGGTGGTGGTGGCTGTGGGCGGAGGTGTGCGTGCCGTCACACCCAACCCAGGCGAGAAGGGGACGTCCACGGCAGCTGGGGGGATGGTCAGCACATCGGAGGATGCGTTAGATACCAAAATGAACCAGACCGCTTCACCAACACTGGGCATACCGGCGCGGGGAAGGACGGGCAGCATGAGTGCACGCTCGAACCCCCCGGACGCAGATTACATCGTAGCGGAGTTGGACAAGGGAGCACGTTACTTCGAAGTCGAGCAGAAGCCCCGCCGGGTAAACCCTTCGATAAAACAGGAACCCACGGTGATCACGGTGTTGCCTAGCAACGGCCCACCCGTGAGTCTGACCCAGGCCACCTTGGGCATTGCCGATGCGAGTACAGGCGGCGGGGACAAGGTTTTGGCCACTCGCGCCCTGTCGGCCACTTCTCTGCGCGATGTGAGTGAGGCTGACGAGCACGATGGTGATGCTCCCAGCACACTTGGAGGGGCTGGGGTGCCCCAATTTGACCGGACACGGAGTGTGCAGGAACGTACGATTCCGCACCAGCAGAGTCGAGACAGTCCCACAGTGTCCTTCCGACAGCGCAAGCCCGACATTGCTAACGTATCCAGCAATGCCACGTCGAAAGCATTTACCAGCGAACCTAAAAGAACTACCAGCGAAACGAAAAGAACTACCAGCGAACCCTCGTCCGCTAAGGCGGCTGGGCAGGGAACCGGAGTGTCTACCAAGGAAGCAGGCAGGCTGTCCACCCCCCAGAGTGCTAGGGCACAGACGCTCACGTCTCCGAGAAAAAGGGTAACCGACGAGACGACCTTCAGCGGTGTGCGCAGAGGATCGAAGATCACCCCACGCACCAACACGCTGACGGCGTCGCAGCGGAGCGAGATCATTCCATGGGATAACCTCATGCCACCCACGCCCAGCGCCAGCACAACCAGTACTACTGATGCGAGTGGGGGCAGAGACGCCAACAGCCAGTCCACCTCGAATCTCTCGGCCAATACGCTCTCGGTGAATGGGGCGGGCGGTTTGACGAGACAGACCAGCAGATCCAGTACCGGCAACTTTGGGCACCCGTCTGCCCAGGCAGCGGGGTTGACTAAGCAGAAGAGCTCCACGAGTGTCTTGGCCAAAGGCACGCGCATGGCCCGGCAGATCACCCCGGGGACAAGCTTTTTCAACACCACCAACGGGACTAGCAGTAGCCACACGAGCACGTCAGCGTTGCAGCAGCAGTGGCATAACAGTCCCTTTAACCTCAACTGGCCCTGGTTCCACCCGAGCATGGAGCACTACATGGCGTATCTCAAACGCCGCGACGAGGCGCTGCGGGCGGATAGTGCGGCGAATGGCGCAGCCACCGAACCCAACGACTCGAGTGCAGACAACGAGAGCATGCACGACATATCGTCGCCCCAGCGACAGCGCACGCCGGCGGCCTTCAAGCGCGCAGTCGGGCTCAGCAAGTCAATGGTGTCGTCTTCTTCGCGCGAGTTGTCGCCTTTGCCTTCGCGCAAGCCAACCCCCACCTCTCCATCGCAGGGCGTGTCAAAGACACTGGCGCAGGCCAGCTCACTGCTGGGCGGTGTCAGCTCAGCAAACGCCCTCACGAACGTCAAGGTGGGGATGAGACACAGCTTCCAGTTGTCCGATAGGGCAAACGCGTCGCTCAACGTTGTGCCAAATGCCGATTCAGGCTCGTCGCGGGTGAGTCTGAACTCGATCATTGATCCCGGGCCTGGGCCGGCGGCTGGCAACGGCAGCGGCAGTGGGTCAGTCAGTGGTACGGCCGAGCGTACAGGACCGGCAGTGTCGCTGGTGAAGGCGTCGATGGATGAGGTCACCCCGTGGGAGAACCAGGAACCACTCAGTAAGACTGGCAGCTCCGGCCATCTGCTCGGGGTATCGGTATGTACGTACCAGGGTGTGTCTATTTGTGCTCATTCGTATCCTTATTTGGGGCTGGTCTTGTTTTGGGTCCGTGTTTGGGTCGTGATTGCATGGGGCTGTCATGGTTCATATCCAAGGCGTCTGATCACACCTATGGCCTTGATGTGAGCGATGGGCGTATCAGGAACGATCACGAAGATCATTGCAACCACAAATGTAGAGTGTAGCCGGCTCTCTCTGTTGCCTCTACACCTCAGATAGTTTGGAATATATATCTATTAATCTGAAACACCAGAAGCTATCGCCGTCACAGTGTACCTGTTCTACCCAGCATGTCCTATTGACAGTAAGAGTGTTCTGTCCACGTATAAGTGGCCACGTGTTGGCTAAGAGGGGCAATGATATAGCTTAAGCCCCATCGTGAGGCCTGATGAATATGATCTATCAGTGTCATTTGTGTGTTTATGTTCATTTATTTTTAAAGGTGGATATATATATATATATATATATGCAAATATATATAAATATACAAATATATATAAATGAATACATATGTATATATATATATACACACATACACACACGCACACACACACACACACACACACACACACACACACATA